TGACACGGTACGTAACGGCGACCAGTACAAAGTACAGGCACCGTTACAGCCCAGTCTACACTTTGTCAACCACCACCACGGGGAACGACAGCGCGACACCGTCGACTCTCCCTCCACGCCGCAAAGGCTAGGTGGGACGGGAAGACAGGTCACCCTGGACAAGTACCGGCCGTCGGTGACTCTCTCTCTTACGCCGATCGTCGGACCGCACACGCCAGCACCTCCGATCGCTGTATTACCTCACCATCAAACCGTACATCAGATATATCTTTATTGCGTGCACGCAACTGTATTTTTTTCGGCGTCTAAATAAACTCGTATACACCAGAACCAGTGATCGTCGTTCTTTTTTTCTTTGTCGTTTCGTTGGTTACTGTTTTCTGTTACCGTGGTTTGCAACCACCTCAAGACCGGCTCACCGCGATCTACATCAACCGCCGTAGCCGTGTCAAAGCCTCACTTCTAAAATTCTTTGACGAGTTCAAATCTATAAAATAAACTCTCTGATCTCTCCTTACCACCGTAATCTCATATCTCATTAATACTAACAATGCCAAATAATAACGCAACACATCACTCTCTCATCATCTTAAATTGGAAACGCAAACTTAACAATTTAACTAATAAACTCGAAAGACTCCTAGTCTTTATTAGACGATTTCACCAAACGTCTCGTCTCCCTCTCGTCTACTGACAACTCGCTTTGGCAAACAACAAGGAAAATCCTTCGAACAAAACAATCTGTTCCTCCACTAAAAAAAAGTACTCGGGCCGTCACTGATCTAGACAAAGCCAATATGTTTTGACATCATCTCTATTCTACCTTCCTACCTCACAAAAATATTCTTACTCCTTCTCAAATCGAAAAAGTAAACCATTCTCTCTCCAACCCTCTGCACATGACTCTCACACCTAAACATATTCGATCTAGTGACGGTGAATATGCGATAAGAAACTCCACTCGTCACAAAAGATCAGGCTATGACCTAATCACAGCTGAGGTAGCTATACAACTTCCCAAAAAACCTTACTTCTCTTAACACACATTTTCAACTCTATACTTAGACTGTCATACTTCCCTGATCTTTGAAAATTCTCAATCATCATTATGATCCCCAAACCTGGCAAACCACCCGATTCTCCCGAATCATACAGGCCTATCAGTCTTCTTCCTCTATTTTCAAAAACGTTTGAACGAATTATCCTAAAATATACTTCCTATCATAGAAGTGAAAACCACTCTACAATACACCAAGTCATCGACTCCATCGACTAGTGGATTAAATATCGTGTACTCTTGAAAAAAAGCTTATTTTCACAACTGCCTTCCGTGATGTATCACAGGCATTCGATAGAGTATGGCATAAAGGCCTACTCTTCAAACTCAAATCTATTCTTCCTCCGTACTATTTTCCATTATTTAAATCCTATTTAGAAAACAGACATTTTGCGTTTGATCTGATTTCTCCTTATCCGAAGTATCGCCAATCCATGCAAGGGTACCTCAAGGATCTGTAACAGCACCTCTACTCTTAAATTTATTCACATCAGATCAACCCACCACCCCCAACACTACAACTTGTGACTTTGCTGACGATAAGGCACTTTAAGCGATCCATTCCAACCCCGAAATAGCCTCAAATCTCGTACAAAATTATCTCAATCTCATATCAAAATGGTATAAAGACTGGGGGATAAAAATCAACGAAATAAAATCCATCCATTGTACGTTCACACTAAGGCAAATAATCTGCCCTCCTATCCACCTCAACAATACACCTCTCCCAACCGCCCAAAATGTCCAATACCTAGGTCTACATCTAGACCGCAGGTTAACTTGGGCAACTCACACCCACAACAAGACTTGCCTTGAATAATCGCTCTCACCAATTACGTTATCTTCTCACATCACAACACAACAACTTAAAAAAGGAAAATACAAAAAACGATTCTGAGGGGAGACGGTTTGTCGTTCTAGAATATTTTATAAATTTTTAACTATGTAAAAATCAATTTGCAAAGATTCGAGATTTCGATGAATTTAGTCAACATTTTAATTTTATATGCTTATAAAAAAAAAGTGTGCATACTAATCTTAAATATTTTTTTAACAGCATTTAGAACAACTTACGAACAACCTTGTTTTCAATTTTAAATCCTTAGTTATAAAAACTGAATATTTTATAAATGTTTAACTACAAAAACAATTTGCGCATTTTCAATATTTTGAAGTCCAAATTTTAACTTAAAATGTCTATAAAAAATTATAATTTGAATACTTTTTTCTGATTTTTTGGTAACATTATAAACTGTTTACATAAAACATTGCATTACATTTTCAACCCTTAAATATAAAAACTGAACACATTATGAATTTTTAACAACAAAATCATTTGCAAAATTTTCAATGATAAATTTCGGTCAAAAATGATATTTAAATGCTTATAAAAAAAAAATTGTGCCTATGTATTTTTATTGCTTTTGATCTGCTAGTTAATCCACTTGTGAGGAATCTTGTATTAAATTTTCAAAAAATTTGACCCAACGAAATTTTTTTTATCAATATTTAAAAAAAAAAATTTGGAAAAACCGAAAATATCTTAGGCCTACAAAACTTGTCAAATTATTCTTAAATTTTTTTGGTGTATATAAAATGGTTATCTTAACAATTGGTGAAATTTTCAAATGCTTGCCATAATTTATTTCTGAATTACATCAAAATAAGAAATCCATGCACGGAAAAAACGGGTTAACACCCAATGTCTTCAAACGCTCATAAAAATGTAGTTTGACTTTCCGGTAAAAATGTTTTTTGTTAGAATGGAAGAAAAACTTATGGAAAATCTCATGTAAAATTTTCAAATCTTAGACTCAAACCAAAAAAAATTTATTAATTTTTAAATAAAAAAAACGGCGAAATTTCGTTATTTTTACGTTTTTTTTCCAAATTTCTTGCTTTAGACGCTAATAAAAAATAATCAAACATTTACGCTCAATTTTTTTTTTGATTTTCACTTTAAACAAGTTATGAAGAATCTTGTATTAAATTTTTATGTTTTTTGACGGAAAGAAAAAATTATTATCGACGTTAGCAAAAAAAAAAACAAAAAAAACCGAAAATTTATAATTCTTATAAATAGCTCAATAAAAGTCAAAAATTTTTTAAAATTTAATGGCGTATTGAGATTGTACATATAAACGTTGGGTGAGAATTTCGTGTATCAACTGTTTTTATTTTTTAGTGTAACACCAAAAAGAAAAATCGATTTTTCCAAAAAAGTGCGTTGCGTAAAAATTTCCGTTTTTTTCTTGATTTTTTGTTGGTTTTTCCCGCTGCGTTTAAAAGGAATTGAATATTTTTTACTTTTTATCCCCCAGAATACTAACTAGATTCACTTTCCTATCAAAAAAATTGCTGATCGAGAAAATCGAAGCAATATTACTGCTCCAAATGTTAATGTCAGACACAAAAAAAAAAAAATTCAAAAAAAAATTCAAAAAAAAAAAACACACATCATTGTACAATTAATACATTCATCACTCCGTTCAGTATCTAAAACAAGCTACTATTATACAAACTACTATTCAAACCGATCGGACATACGGTATCCAACTCTGGGGTGCAGTCCAAAAGGCCAACTTAAATAAAATCCAAGTCTTCCAATCAAAATGTCTCCGCCAAATAACCAAAGCCCCCTATTATGTATCTAACGACACTCTACATAGAGTTCTAGCCATTCTAACAGTCCAAAACATCGCACACACTCCAAGCTCTACACCCATTGTAATCCCCTGATTTCCGAGCTATCCACCAACACTATTCCTGGTGACCCTAGAAGGCGTCGTAAGCTGCGGCCCCACAGAACGCGATTTGCGATTTTGCGATGGCGTGTAGCGATTTTGCGTTTTAGCGATTTTAACAAAAGTATGTAATTCATATGTACTGAGCGCGTTTCGTGTGTCGCGTGTAGCGTTACACGCGCGGCAATCGCTGAAAGAACAAAATAGTTTGATATTCGGCGATTAATCGTTAAAACTTGACATTCGTTATCAAAATGTCAACGTCGTTGGTTGTGTCCGAACAAATAGCTGCCGCTGTTTTCGTTCAGGAAGCTATTTGGAATCCTAGACACCCGGATCACAAAAATAGGACCAAGATCCAAAAATGTTGGTCCAACGTTGAAAAGGAACTCAACATGAATGGTAATTTAATTAATTAAATAATTATATATATTTATGTTTATTTTATAAGTAAATCTATAATATCTTATATTCATAGGCGCAATTTCAACTTTTGACTTGGGGGGGCTGAATATATTAAAGGCAAGCAGACCATTGCAATACAGCATTTTTAAATTGTATGTCCTAGGTTTTTTTTTTGGGGGGGGGGCTACGGCTTAGCCCCCCAATTTGCGCCTATGCTTATATTTATATTTTTGATATAATTTGTACTGTAGTAATATAGAAATTATTTTTAGAAAATATAACATTTTACAGTACCTACCACACGAGTACACGACACGGATATACATGTCCCTACATGCAGTATTGCAGTAAAAAATAAGTAAAAATAACTATACGAACTATTAGACACAAATTTATCAAAACTTAAAATGTGGACGTAATTATGTTATACAGCCACAACGTAAAAATAAATTATTGATATAGTTATTTTTAATTTTTATCTTTTCGTATTTGCTTACGTATTATGGGGTAACGGGTTTTTTATACATCACTTATTTTTACACAGCAGTATAATATGAATCTAATATTATTAGAAACTAGTGAACCATATACTAGGATACAAATTTAAATTTAGAATACAAATATAACTAAAAAAAAATTAGTTCGTAAATATTTGTTCTTATAATTATTTTTTTGTTGACGAAGAAGCATATTTATTTCAATACTAAATACAAAGTATACATTTTAAAATTACAAAATAAATAATTATAGTAGAATATGTAGGTAGTAAAATATTTAAAATGAAGCATTTATATATAGTCCAATTGCCAAGGAACAGAACCAGCCTCACTACTAAAATATTCAGTGAATAGTTCCCTTGAATCTTTTGCTAATCTTCCAAATCTATTATTTTGTCTACCTACAGTGTTCTTGAATATAGTCGTATGTTCTTCCAAATTATCAATTGGATTGCTTAGTTGATCGTGTTTCAATACTAAGTTGTGCAAAACACATACTGCCTTTGTAATTGTGATGGCGTGCTCAACGTTTGTTTCAATTGCCTTGTTTAATATCCTCCACTTTGACGATAAAATTCCAAATGAATTTTCAACCGTACGCCTGGCTCTTGATAGTCTGTAATTAAATATTTTCTTTTTTTGGTCATTCAAAAGTTGCTTTCCAGGATAAGGTCGTAATAAATTTGTTAAAAGGGGGAACGCTTCATCACCTATAAATGTATATGGTGCTTTAATGTTGGTATTGGGTAGTTCCACATCTTCTGGAATATTTAGTTGATTTTGTTGGAGTTTTTTGAAAAATACTGAATTTCTTAAAACTCCACCATCACTTTCTCTACCATATGCACCAATGTCCACTGCTATAAACTTATAATTAGCGTCGGAAATCGCAAATAAATTTATTGAAAAAAAATGTTTATAATTGTAATACATCGACCCAAAATGTTGAGGTTGGTCGATTCGTATATGTTTGCCATCTATACTTCCGAGGCAATTAGGAAAGTTCCATTTAGTACAAAAATCATTTGCATTCGCTTTCCAGTCATCACTCGTTGGTTCCGGTATATAATCTGTAGACAATTTGTTCCAAATAGCTTCACATGTCTCCACTACAATTCTCGCAACACTTGTTTTACCCATACGAAAAGTAAAAGCTAAGCTTCTGAAACTGCATCCAGTTGATAAATACCTAAAATAATAATAATAACAACAAAAATATGTTTAAAAAATATATGTTTTGATACCTAATTCTAATTTAATATTTTAATATAACATTTAACTGATTTAACAAAATTAGTTAATCAATTAAATTAAAGTATACCAATCGTTAAATTTCAGTTCTTACGTTAAAAACCAAATGGAAAAACATTAGAGATTATTATCGAGCTGAATTAAAAAAAGTATCATCAGGACGTTCAGGGGCTGGTGCAGACGAAGTAACCTCTTCCACCTGGCCATTATTCCCGTGTTTAAATTATTTAAAGGACACGATGCAAACGCGCCCTCGTACGACAAACTTGAGTGCAAGTAACTCCGTTGAAAATGCTCCACATGATACTTCTGTCGATTTTTCTCATATCAATGTCGACGAAAATAGCGAAGAAGAAATATGTGAAGATGACAACGAAATTGTTCAATCCACGGGAAGCATTGTAAGAGAAAAACCCATGCATACAAGCAAAATATCAAAAAAAAGTAAAACATCAATGACCAACTTTAGACAAGAATTATTAAATCTTGAGGCAAAAAAAATAAAATTGTTACAAAATGAAGAAAAAGACGATGAAGACTTGATGTTTTTAAAAAGTCTATTGCCTGATTTGAAGTCCCTATCCAGACCACAAAAAATTAGGACAAAGATTAAATTTCAAGAAATTTTATACAACGAAGATATGAATATTAAACCTACAACTTCTACTTCCACACTGTATTCAAGCACACCAGCATCAGTTTCTACACAGTCGTCAGTTTCAAATGACGATTCCCATTGGCAACCATGGCAAGAAATCAATTTTGATGCAAACAACCAGTTAGTAAATTGCCAGACAGAACCACTCCAAGAGCAGGGTACAATTTATGAAAATTATAATTAAAGTTTAACTTAATAAAATTAATTTAATTTTTGTTATATTGATATGGTAAGGAAACCATTTTTAAGTTTTTTTTTTAAATATATTATGTCATTAAATATGTTTGTTGAGCGCTTATCTTGATCATTTTATTTTAGTGAAAAATTACGATGTTTTATTATAATGACTATTACGTAATATGAATTAAATAAGAATGTTGTAAGTTGGTATGAATACAACTTATGAGTGAAATGTTGGTACTTATATATATACTAGGTACACCACGGTTAATCGGTTTTTTAAATATAATTTGTAAACCTGCTATTAACTTGTAATTATTTTATTATTAAATAAATAAATACTTTAATACTAAGCTTCAACAATAAATATTTTTAATAACAATTAAAGTTTGAGGCCCAAAAACAAATTATTTAGAATTTATAGAAGTTATAGAACAATTATTTTTATAGCTATAGTATTTAGAATTTTAGAAACGTATATTAAACATATAATATTATTGTTGTAGTGCACTGTTGTGGTATTTATTCATTTTGTTTAAGTGAAAAATAATGAATTGAACAAAAGTTATTTAATAGATTTAAGACACTCTATATATTATTCACATCATTATATTTATTTAAATAACTTACCTCAATGTAAGAAATAGCCTTTCTTCTACAGGTATTGCTCTTCGGAAGTTGGTGTCTTCTTTTTCGATTTCGCTTCTTATAGCTTCCAAAATTATATAAAAAGTAGGTTCACTCATGCGACAGTACTCAAAAAATTTGACTGGATGATTTTTTAATTTACTGAATAGTGTATGAAATTCCCCTTCAGATAGCCTATGCTTATTTATTTCGTGAACCCATAAACGGTTCTTAACTAAATTTACTTTAATATCAATTAAAGAAGCACTTTCAGCCAGTAACATTTTTCGGGAAGTCATCTTGGTCGACGACCGAATAAGCAAATGAAAACTAAAAACGAAAACGAACACGCGCCATGGAAAAAATGTAGAAACGCAAGTAAAATCGCTAAAGTGTCCCCATCAAAATCGCTAGTGGACATCGCGCGTGTAAAATCGCAGAAACGCTCGAAACGCAGAATCGCAAAATCGCTCCCTGTGGGGCCGCACCTTTAAACGTGCCTGGTTTCGTGACATACTTAAATAAAATTGTATGTTCCTCTACCTCCCCTTAATTTTGTATTCAATCTCACTTTCTCTTATTAGCACATTAGAATAAACTCCTAACCTTAATTGCCTCCAATAGTCAGCTTCTTACCTCCTGCCACTCAAACCATGTAACCTCCATCGCGTACGCTTATTGTATAATAATATTTACAGATTGTGTATTTTAATAATAAATGATAAAAAAAAATCATTTAAATCACTGACAGCTACATCATTCGGAACATCATTATTTGTTTCTATCACAACAGAAGAATTTAACGATATATTAAGTCATTTTCAACTATCCATTCTCTTTAGCTATCCTAGACCTAGGTGTTAAAGTACTAAGACTTTTAGTTTTTCGTTTGCTAGACATAGTATTAAAGATTCACTGAAAATATATTGGTGCATATAATATGGTCACTTACTTATAATACTACTGCAGGTAAATTGTAAGCACAATTATTATTTAGGTAATAACGGCGACCGTTGTTATTCACCACGTTGAAAAAGAAAATAGTTAAAGAAAAGGCGACGCGTAGATGAAGACATAACAGTTTCAGTTTTTAATTTTTATGTTATGCATACTAAATAATATCGAACTACGATACTGCAACTGCAGGTGAATTGTAAGCACAATTATTATTTACGACAATAACGAATACAACGATGGCAACATGACTACGTATAGTATACGTCGTATATACAGTAAACACTAATAAAACAATGTTTTTCAATTTCCATGACGAACAATAAAATAAATACTTACGATGGATGAATTTACAACTATTCATCGTATGTTATCACTTATTAGTTCGAATTCAAAGCACACAATATTCTGTTACTCTGTGTTCAAACATTGTTCTATTCTGTGGTTCAAAGCTGAAAGCATTACTCTATGGTTCAAAGTCTAGCCTTGCGTTGACATATGATTATACGAGAAATACGCATACTGGACGCATCGGTACCGGTTAACGTAGGTACTCAAATTCTCCTCTATCAAAATGTATTATGTAATTGTGACACAATATAACTTACGTAGGATATATTGTGTATTCCTTTAATATTTATTATCGTCACTGTTGACTGTTAATATTATTTGGTTAAAACTTAAAATATAAACATAGTAATATTATACTACCTATAGAATTTTATGCATTTATAATAAAATATATTGCATCTGCAGTAGCGGATCTTTCATACAGCAGGCGCGTGCTTAATTTTGGTAAGCAAAAGCGTACAATAAAAGGATACAAAATTGGGTAAACCCGGTGTAAAACAATGGGAAACTACTGCGATTATGGGGGGGGGGGAATAATATTATATAATGCCCGCTTTGCCCCGCGCCATGCATATATAATATGCATGATTATATATTTCAATATTATTATTTATTATAATTATAACTATATATACTACATATTATATAAATTATAGTATTATATATATAATTAGGACTCTTCGCAGGTAAACTAATATATATATATTATATCATATTATAATATGAATATAGGTATGATGGTATAATTAATTAACCCCCCCACACCTCCACCCTATCCCCCCTCACATACGTTAAAACATATATAATGTATATAATAAATATAAATATATAATATTTGATATAAACGAATCATCATTTTTGGATAAAATATTGTATGGCTATTTGAAATATCCAGCAGAAAACTGTAATTAGAAGTTATGGATAAAATATTTTATGGATATAATATATCTAGTGGATATCCATCTGAAATAATATTTGAAAAGAAATTTTATGGTTATTTTACATAATCAATGGATATCCACTGGATGTACTATACTCTGTGGGAGTGACTAGTAAGTACTTAATAGTCGAAAACACAGGGTCACCAATACCGTCACCGACGCTAAAATTGTAAAAAAGTAATGACTAGTATGTGCAACCTTAGTACATACACCGAGTAAAGGAAATCGTTTCGTTCGAAAAAAAGTAGAATAAATTATGGGCCGTACTCTTTTTGCCCAAGAATGACCTTTACCTCTTTTCGCCACTTTTCGCCCTAATATTTTAAATCTACTTTCCCTTTTTGTCCAAAAATATTATATAGCACTTTTCAACCACATATTTATAATACATACTTCAGGAAACACTATATCTACATCATATATCTACAATATCTTAATCTTATCTTTATAATATTTGAATACTATAAGTATGTAATCTCTACAATGGTCCACCGTCTAGATCACCGTCTTCGAGTGTGTTTTTCGACAGTCCTTTTGTTATAAAAATTGTTGAAGATTTTAATACATTTGTAAATTTAAGTAAAATCATGGAATTCAAAATCATAAAAAGTAAACGAGGATGTCGTATGGCAGTGTATAACAATTTTAAAAATTTTAAAAATAACTTTAAAAACATAAAAAAATATGGCTCTACTCGTTGGAGATGTGTTATGAGCACTTGTAGTGCACTAATATATACTCGGACAAGATTAATTTTTTTCTTTCAACAACTGAAGAACGTAATCTCTTATCTTACGATCTAACGAATATCCATTGTTAAATTGTAAATGTTGGATGTAAACGTAAAGCTGTAGAAAATATGCAAATACAACCGAAAAAAGTATTATTACAGGAAACTGCTCATAATGACCGAGCAGCATCAACATTTACAAAAAAATGATATTAATAGGCTGAGAAAATATATATATAAAGATCGTAAAAGTGCCCTCTTTCCTAACCCCACTTATATTAATGAAGTGCATACACTTTTTGATACGGAAAAAATTATTACCTACTACTAAAGGAGAGTCTTTTTATTAATTAATGATAAAAAATAAAAATGTATTGATTTTTTCATGTGAAAAAAATGTATTATTCTTAGCCAAGCCGAAAATGTAAACGTAGATGGTACTTTTAAATATGCATCAAAATTTTTTAATCAAATATTCACTTTACATGGATCTAAAAATGAACATTATATTCCATTAGTATTTTGTTTGCTCATTGTTATATCCATCAAAACGAATGAATTTGTGTTTACTATAATTGTTGAATAACCTAATACACTTGGTTCTCTGTTCTCACCAGAAAAAGTTACCGTTGATTTTGAATTAGCAATTCATAAAGCTATAGAAAAAGTCTGGGAGAATACAACAATGGAGATGCCGATTTCACTTAACTGAATCATGGTGGAGAAATGTTCAAAAGTGAGCGTTCAACCCCCCCCCCCCTCCCGAAATTTCTGGCTAAGGCCTTGATTTTCATATTTTAATGTATAATGTAACATATTTATACTCAAACCCCCCCTATATATTTTTCTGACAACGGTCTTGTCCACGATCTACTTTTTTAATATTGACTTTAACATAATTTCCTAGTTCCTATTCATAAACTGTGTCAATAGAGTACTTATTTATAAAATCATATCAATTGTATACATTACAAATTTTTGGTTTTTACCTACATTAGTAGGTACATTACAACCGGCTATTTTAAGGATATAGATATAGATTGACGACGTATACCTAATAATTATAAATACGTGGTTAAGCAGAAATGTTCTACAGACAACCGATGCAGAATTTCTTGACGAAATACCAGATACAATATTAACATTAAGAGAAATAGCGAAGAGACATGCTCAATTTTTTTCGGAACGAAATCACTGTACAATGAAGGTTATTCAAAAAAGACCAACAAAAGTGTTTCAAAACGTAGATGAAGAAAATATTATAAACTTCTTACTACATATGCATTTAATTTCATTAAAAAAAAGTTTTTGCCCAACAAAAGAAGTTCTAAAAGATACAGCACTTAATTCATGTTCGTGTAGTTTTTACAAGTTTATGAGATTACCATGTAGGCATATCATCAATAAAAGAAGAGTAACAAACAACCCCATATTCGTTGAAAATCTGTGCGATGTGAGATGGACGAGGAATTATTACATAAAAAGTCAGAAATTACTAAGTAATCCTCCTGAACAGACCAATTCAAATATAGAAATTGAAATTCAACATCCAAAGAAAAATAACAAAATGTTGACAACATCTGAAAAGTACAGAAAAGCATCCATTCAGACAGCAAAATTTGCAGAACTTTTGTCAGAAGTTTCCCAATTCAGTTTTGAACGAAGGATATGTCAGCTACAGCAAATAGTTAATCTTTGGAGCAAAAACAAAGATTTTTTGATAGAATAAATTGTTGAAACTGAGTGTAGTGTGAATCAGGTGGTAGAAACTGGATGTGCTATTTCTGCGGGTAATTAATTAAAATTTGATAAAAAATAAATTTATATTTAATTTTATAATTGTATACCTTTAGTGAATGATAACGACACTGAAACTGTTGAAACTAAAATATGTAGTATGGATCAGAAAGGAACTATTATTCTATCAGATGTCAAACTACCAAAAAAAGTAAAATGCCCCGGAAGACCAAAGGGAGCTGCACTAACATCAATAGGTCTTCCAAAAAAACGAGCCATTAGTAAGCCTACTGTATTTGCGCAGAAACATTTTAAAATTAAAGAAAATATTATAATGGAATGGCTTACGGCAAAAAAAGTAGTCGATCAAGTTAAGAAAGACAAATATATCATAGAGGAGAAGGATATTGAATGCCGCCATGAAATTATTTGCAACAGTATTATGGAGGAAGACGTTGATATCCATATCATAAGACCTTACTGCACCAAATATGCATAGAAAGCCATATTGAATGTAATTAAAAAAAAAATGTATGACATGGATATGCCCTGTTTGTAACCATGACATTGGATCGGAGTGTGTTTTGTGTGATTCTTGCTTAGTATGGTTTGATGCAACTTGTGTTGGATTTAGTATAAAATCAAAACGCACAGGATCGTATTGGTTTTGTACTGGTTTTAAAGAAAATAAGAAATAAATACAATGAAATTAACAAATAAATAATAAATCAATCATATTATAATATTATCATGAATCCTCACTGTTTCTCAAATCATCAAATTACTAACTGAATACTGATATAACTACCTAAAAGTGGTATTCCTATTCGTGTATGGTCGGGAGTTTCTTATCTTACCGACTATGGTCGGGCGTATAGACACAGCAATAATTAATTTTAAACTTACTAGGTAATACTATTCAAAATGATTATTGTGTTCATTATTTAAAATGTTTACTTATAAAATAAAAACTTTGAAGTTGTTAGTTGTTTTAGATTTTGATCCTTTAGTCCACGTCCTATAATGGAAAAAAGGCCTAATAAAATTACTAATTAGTTATTTTAAGAAAAAAAATAATGCCCATAAATTTCATAATTTATTATGACTTAAGAGTTATCATTGATATTAGACGAATAGATTCTGTCGTTGATAGATGGCAGCACTAGTATATAAGAGTTTCCGTCCCGTCGATAAGAGCACGGGTGCATATAATATGTTAATCACCTCGATACAGCACCGCTGTAACCTGGTTATATCGTATTTGGTTCGACTGTCTATTCTCTTTGACTCAACTCATCCGACGACATTGCTTCCCTTCACCCTAATAACTCAAACGGCATTAATGATTACGCAAACAATTGTTATTCTACTTTGTGTTTTTTGCTGCGTATTAACAGTTATTCATTTCTAAATTTCTCTTTCGCGGAAGACGTTTTATTATATGACTAAATCAGCAATTGTCGATATGGCTTGCGGAAATTCCGAAATGAAAATGTATGGAGTACTCTTCTTCCTATGCATACAACTCGGTAAGTAAATGTGTAACACTAATGGAGGCGGTCATCATAGTTAGATCGGCTGATGGTCTGAGCCTATATCCGTTGTCTAACTGATTTCATGACCAGCTCCCGTCCAGTGGTATGTTTAAGTGAAGAAGTTAAAGGCTCTATCCCCCCATGTTATTATTTTTTTATTTACTTGTACTACTTAGTAGATCACTATCCATGTTGCAATGTTCAATGCTACTATTATAGATATGTGTAGAAGTCTGTGGTTAATAAAAACATTAAACATTATATTATGTACAGATCATTGACAAAACGTATCAAATGTAATATCTATCTCTGACCTACTCTTAACAGTAAACTTTTGGATAAACACTAGTATCAGTTTTTGGGCTTCTTCGTATTTTGTAGCATTTGTGGTTTATATCTTTTTTAGGCACCTATCCACATTATTTAACAGTTATAATAAGTACTGATTAAGATACATACCTATACTTATATTTTAGTTTGTGGTTTATAAGATATTAACAGTTTTGAACTTAAGTTTTGAAACCTTATGGGCCACTCCCAAACAAAACTCCTATACTTAGTTTAAGCTAAGAAAAATAGTCAACCGACTTGTGCTCAAGGGCATTGCAATATTACACGGTAGATATACGGTTAGTTGACTCAGTGAGTGGCGACAAACGAGTGTTCCTTGACTTATCTCCGCCAACTATGTTTCTCAACTTGAACAAAGTATGTAACTTCTATTTGGACTTTTTATAGTTATTTTAGTATCAGTACATTATTTCATTACAAATTGTATATTACTAAATTTTCCTACTATAATACTATACCTACCATACTAAAGGGTAAGAATAGAAACTTGTTTTTAGTAAATAATTCACAAAAACTTTTGCAATAGTTATTGTTAGAGTTGGGTTGTCGATGACCTAAAAGACACATAAACAACACTGACAAAAATGCCCTAAGAATAATATTCCCTAAAAATTCCAAAAATTAATTTAAAAATAACCAACCACTTAAATAAATGAAAAAATTGTATTTAAAAATAATTAATTTTATTAGAGATATGGGTGTGATAATGGGTATCAGAGTAATTTAAAATATCAATGAGTTTAATTACAACAAAAACCCTACAATAATAATAATAACAATAAATTTAAATAGTATTTTCTAAGTTTTGTCCAATATTCTTTACTGTGCTGTTGAATAGTAGAACAGATTCATTACACAGAAAATATCTACATATTCTTCTTTATTCATTAATTTAAACTCAAGGGCTGAGCTCTATATTTTAACAAGGTTGGTTCCTACACAAGTTTGACTATTGAATGATACATAATAATCAATTTGAAAATAATAATAATTATTTTTTCTTAGTATAAAAATATATATATCTATTAGTAATTTACAACCTAAACAAAAATATTAAACTTAAATTTGAAGAGTGAGATTCATATTAAATGATAATAATAATAATAATAATAATAATAAACATTATCAACAAATTTAAGGGCTCTTGTCAATTTGTATGAATGTATTTCATATTTAATTATTAATTTAAATAGTGATATTTCTCATACAAATGTATCAGCTGTTAAATAACATATACCTAAAATTTAAAGCTAACTAGAACTTTGTATCATTTGAACATTTTATATTTAAATTATGCTTATTATACTACCTATTAATATGTTGCATATTATGTCAATAATATTAATACATTTATTTTTATTAAACTGTATTTTTTTTCTGAACTTCTTGTTGATTCATTATCAATTATTTCCAAAAGTATGAAATTAGATCAATTATTATGTTGAAAGCATAAACACCACCTCCGTATAAGAAAAATATACACAATAAATTTAATAAATTTTTTTGATTGAATACATTTTAATAAACTGTGTTTATAACAAATATATTTATTTTTCATTGTTTTTATATTTAAAACAATATATTATATAGACTACAATACAATTTACAGGGTAATTTTTAAGCATGCTCATCCTATTTTTATGTTAAAATTAAGCATATATTCAAATTTTGATTTTTAGAATTTTTAAATATACTTGGAACTCATATTTTTGAATACTCAAGATTTTTTTGTATCATCTCTTCCACCTTTAAATATTCCACATATTTATAATACTTATAACTTACTCTTAAATGATATCAACAAACAAAACTCCTTAAGAGAACAAGTATAATATTCTTACCTGTAAATTATATAATTTGTAAATTTACTGCAATATTAAAATTGACAACTCAAAATTATCTAATTATTAATACAAATTAAATTTTAATTTTAGCTTATTCTCAAAGATCACCTATGATATCACATATTACACAAAAACTTGTAAAAGAAGTTGGTGATACGGCAGAAATGGCATGTACAACATTATATGCCCAGGATTTCAACGTTTTGTGGGTTAAGGTTGACAATGAAAAACTAACTGAACCTATCATATTCTCATCTGGAGGTTCACTTATTGTCAGTGATCCAAGATTATCATTGAGACGAGAGATGGACAACAATCGATACATATTACGGGTATCCAGAGATATCATGAAAATAGCTTCCAAGCTCTGCATGCTTATTAAATAACAATCAAATATGGAAATAATATATGTTTTCAGATTAATGATATTCAAGAAACTGATGCGAGTCTCTATCGCTGTGATGTGGTGCTTGAAATTAATAAAAAAATATCAGCTTCTGTTGAGTTAGTGATACGTAGACGTCCATTTATTTCTGACAACTCGACCAGATCATTAGTTGTAAAAGAAGGTCAACTAGTGGAACTTGAATGTTATGCTGGTGGATTTCCTAGTCCAAGAATTTCTTGGAGGCGAGCAAACAATGCAATTTTACCTATTGGTGGATCAATGTACAGGTACAAAACATAATAGAAATATAAAGTGGGCAAGATGGTATTGCTTTGTTGTACATAAAGTATTGTGTGGGTTACTGTAGTAGATGTGTTAAATTAGAATTCAGTGATATAAATATTGTATACAAAAATCGACTCTGAGCTTAGACGGGTCTGTCAGCTTTCATAAGTATATTTCATAAGATATTACTATTATAGAAATTTATTTTACTATGAAACATTGATTGGAATTAATTTTTTTCTAATATTGCTATTGAATTTTCAAACATTCAACATTTTAAGGACCAATCTTAAAAAACCAAATAAAAAACTGATTTTGAGGAAAAATACCTGTTTTTTTTTAAAAAAAATGTCCTCTTGAGATTTTGAAAACTTTTATGAATATTTTACTTTTGATCCCCCAATGTATCATAAAGATTCACTTTCCAACATTAAAAAATGCTGAAGTAGAAAATGAAATCATTTTTAGTGCTTTAAAAAGTGATAACAGACAGAAAAAACACATTATTTTAAAATCAATACATACATCCGTCCGCTTAGAATCTATACTAAATACCTACATTAGCAAATTAAAAGTTAATTCATACATGGTTAAAATGCTAAAACTGATATAATCAAAGCATACATTTGATGTTATAGAGGTAACATTTTGAAGATTCCTGCTATAACAAAAGGAGATCGTGGAACCTATTATTGTGTAGCTGAAAATGGTGTTGGAAAAGGTGCCAGACGTAATATTGCCATTGAAGTAGAATTTGCTCCAGTAATTACAGTTCCTGAAACTAGTTTGGGACAAGCTTTACGTTATGACATAGATATTGTGTGTCATGTTGAGGCGTATCCTCCACCAGCTATCATTTGGTTAAATAATGGAGTAGAACTATCCAATAATCAACATTACAGGTATACTACATTTTTGGCACTCATAAAAATCTATGCAGTTAAATAAAACTTAATGTGGTTTTACTTTGACAATATTTTAGTATATCACATTTTGCAACCACAGATCAATTAACAGACACTACATTACAAATTATCACAGTTGAAAACCGTCAATATGGTGATTATATTTGCAAAGCATCAAATATATTAGGAACTGCTGAAGTAACAGTTACTCTTTATGGTAAATATTTCTTAAATTAATACATACATAATATCTTATGCATTTCAGTTAAATTGTCTTCTTGTATAGGAAATATGGAATAATATTAAGTATAATTTTAAATTTGTGGTGATAAGTTTCTTGAGTTTCCTGTATTTGTTGAAATTCTTCCATTGTTTTATTTATTAGTATAACAATTATTAAAATTCGACATTGGAAATATCTTAGGGGTTTAAATAAATCAAAATTCAACACAAACTCATTTACTAATAAGTTTGTACCTATCTCTCAAAATGTATGTGTGTCTCATGCTTTTTTATTAATATTACCTACCCAATATTTATATTATAAGATGAAATCAAACTTCTATACAACAAAATAAATAACAATACATAGAAATTATATTTATTATTGTAATTAATTAACTAACCCCATTAAGCTCAGCTTGTGGGGGAGTTAATTAATTTGAGAACTTTAAATCCAAACTGAGATCAATATAATATTTTAATATGCATACACATTATAATATACATATAAAATATTTTTTTTCAAATAACTTAAAACGATTCTGTTATTGTATCCATGGTTATTTTTCAAATAAACATTATTGGAAATTATTTGTTTATGTGTAGCCATTGGCATTGAATTATAGACCTTAAGAGAAACAGTTGTATCAATATTCAAAGACAGTTAAAAACACGGTTGAAAGTGACCTGCGGGTGTGTTTAAAACTTTAAACTTTGAACTGTTAATGTGGTATGTCCCTGTAATTAATCCCTCATAAATACATGAAAAAAAGTTTGAATTAAATAATAAGAATTCGAATAATTATTAATTCTGAATTTTATTTTAAAACTATGTACCACGTTAGATGCAAATGTAACAATAACATTTTCTATATCAATTTAAATATTTTTCTATGTACAAAATTTCCGAATTGTTGAATTGGTCTTAAAACATACAAATACATACCCATGTCTTCATTTTATGCATAGCTAAAAAACTTCTCTCACATGTAGCTGATACAATAGGTAAAGACATGACTGCTTGAAGAAGTTTGTATAAGCTAGAGAATACACTTTTTGTTAATATATTTTTCATGGTTTCATATTCCTCAGTTCTTAATTAAAATAAACTGTTCTGGGTCATTATCGTCTCCTTTTAAATATTAAGTTTTGATGAATTCTATAAACCCTAAATTGTTGCATTGACCATGCGGATATCATGCATTGCATTTTCTCAGTTATCCAGGTACCACTATTTTCATAAAATTGAATTTAATTACTAAGTTATTTAAGTTTTATTGGTGGTTACGTACTCTAATCACCATGCATATGAATTAACAACATAATTTCTTTTGATAACTCAAACTTCTTTATTACAAACATATTTTAAAATACAATTAAATTTTATTTAAAAAAAAAAATGTTTACCTATAACAATGCAAATAAAATGTTTTTGTTTAAATATAAACTAACTTTTTTTGTGTAAAATCTAGGGATTCAAACTGAAATGATTTTTTGTGGTTAATGGTTTTAGTTCTTCTATTTTTAATAATATTGGTCCTACATTTTATAGTTACTTAGAACTAGGTTTTAAATTTATAAAACCAGTTAATTTTGTTTTTTAATAATTTTTTTTAAAAATAATATTAATAATGTATATCTACTATCTACTATTATAAAAAAAAAACTACATACACTAAGTATAAATTTAACTTTATTTAATACTTTTAAACTACTGCAATTTTTTTATATATAAGTTTATAAAATTACTTTATAATAAATCATACTATAATTCTAATATGTAAGTAATAACTAATAAGTATAGTTTAATATAAATTATAATATTTATTATTTACTAGTTCTATATGAATACTTTTACTATTGTTAATAGTTATTGTTATACATGAACATTGTGTATATTATTCAGAGTGTTTCTTTTTAAAGGTAACACTAAATAATTCTGTCCAGTGACATCAGATTGATATGCGATTTTCGGGAGGAGGTAGGGAATACATAAATACACATTTCTTGATGATTTTTACATTTTCAGATCTTTCCCTGTGCGCATGTGCAATACAACTTGCATTTTTTTAAATGGCAACAGGTGTTTTAAATACCAAATTCTGATAGACCAAATTTTTTTAAGTCAATTTAGTCCTTTTCACATAGGTGGAGATCGGGGGGGGGCTTACGGGGGCTTAGTCCCCTCAAAATAAATGATTTGAAGTTAAAGACCCCCCTAAGAATATTAAACAAACAATACCGTAATTTTGTATAGTTTGCAGAACTTTTTTCATTATTTTATATTCTTATATCCACAATTATATAAGTGTACCTAGTACATTACATACACAATATTTACCAATTTATTATTTACGGTAACAAAACGAACAATTAAGTCACAATTCACAATAATATTATATTGTGTTTATATACCTAATATTGTACATATTTTGTACCAATTGGCCATCTATATTGAATAACATATTAAACCATTCTATTTTAGATGGGAAAAATATTATTTCTTTTCCTAATTTTTGTTAATTCTCGAGAAGCGATAGCTATTATAGGACTATCGCTATAGCTGTATTAAACCTATCGTGAAGTTTATCACTATTGAATGAATCGTTAACCGTATTGACCATTTTATACTAAATTATATTTTACTTATTGTTTGATGTTCTTGGGAATACATTTCTTTTGAGATTGTGATTTAGATTTTTAATAAATAATTTAGTTCAGATATGTTTGAAATATTTAAATTTAAATCGTTCATTAATTATTCTTTTTTTTATGTTTGTAACTATTTAAGTTGTTATGATAACGAGTCAACGAGAGCAATTTTTATGACTGATCTAATGTAAAAATTAGTTTGTTGGAGGTGTGGGGGCAATGCAATTGTCATCAAATATTTGAGCCCCCCTTAAAATTTCACAAGATCTCCGCCTATGCCTTTTCACCATAACTCTAAAATCAAAATTGACTAAACGACAACGAGTTTAAAATTATTTAATTTTTTAACAATCGTACTAGAATTTTATGAATTATTATGAAATTTTAAGCATTTCTTTTTGTATCCATAGGCTTGCACACATTATTAAATCATTTTAATTTAATTTTGAGGAATTAATTAACATAAATTAGACGTAAATATTTAATTTACTAAGAAAAAATTTATTAGATAGTTATTAGACATTTTTTATCCAAATAAATAATAGAAATTATTAAAATAAAAAAATTGTGTTTAATCTTTTCTCAGTAAATTAAACATTTACGTCTAATTTATTGATGTTAATTATTCCTCAAAATTAAATTAAAATTATTTAATAGTGTCTGAATTAATGATATAATAATATTCTACGGATACAAAAAAAAATGCATGAAATTTCATAATAATTCATAAAATTCTAGTATGATTGTTGAATAATTCAATAATTTAAATCAAAACTTTAACTGGTCATTTAGTCAATTTTGATTTTAGAGCTATGGTGAAAAGGACAAAATTGACTTAAAAAAATGCAAGTTGTATTGCGCAAGATCATCAAGAAATGTGTATTTATGTATTCCCTACCTCCAGCCAAAAACCGCATATCAATCTTATGTCTCTGGACAGAATTATTTAGTGTTACCTTTAAAAAGAAACACACTGTATATTGGAAAATGCAAATTACAATATTATACGCTATAGCTTTAGAGGTAATTATTATTAAATATCAATTTAACTAATTTCTTCTATGATTGATCATTATTATACATATTATTAGTGTATTACATAGGTATGTAACAACTAATAAATAAAAATCACAATTTTAATTTACTATAAAATATTAAAATTTACAAATTTAAATTGTAAGAAAGTTAAATTATAAAATTCAGGCTTAGATGCTTTTGAGAGATTCACCATTGTAATATGTTTGTCTTATGATGTAGGCTTGGAGTTGAACCAAATGACTAATAAATTAGAATTTCTGCACATCTTAAATTTCCTACAGTTAACTTGAGGTCTAGGTCCTTTACCAGGAGTTTGTGATTTGGTTTTAATTAATATTTCCTAGTTAATTGCTAACAAATAGTTATCATTTAAAAGTTTAACACAATTTGATTATTAGTTATTAATTAATCAATTATTTAATTTTATATGTATTAACTATGTACTTATTTATTTGTTTATTTTACAGAAACACTAATACCAGAATTGCCCCCTGCCCTTGAATAAATATCACCATGCTCAATCACTCAAGCTAGCTGCTGATATTTGTGTTTTGTTCTAGATACAGCTTACCTTTATTTTATTCACCTAATTTTTTTAATTATTTTACCGTCTAAGAACAATTAATTTATGAATAAGAACCTATATTATAATTATTTTCAATTATTTTTTTATAAATACTTTGTATAACTTCATTAATAAATTATTTATGTATTCCAAACTTATTTTATGCCTACTTTTATTTGTACACTAAGTAAATTATCTTATTTGATGATAAAAAAAGATCTATAGCTCAAACATTAAAACTACCTTGTAAAAATTAAATATTTGTTGGGCATTCTAGTACCTAATAACTGTAGGGATGGGCCAATACTAGATATCGGCCGATATCGGTGATATCAGTTTTATTGGTATCGGTTTTTTTTTCAAAACCGATATTTCAACCGATACCAAAAAAAAAAAACTTATCGATCAGCATAGTATTGATAGTATTATAATTCACAAATGCACAGGTTAGGTTATCAATAATCAAATACTATAGATCTGTCGTTGTTATCACATTACAATAACCACAATACAATAGATAACAATACTATATCTAGTATTCATCATCCATAAACAATTCCCAGATTATGAAAAAACTAAATTGCTTACAATTAGTACAATTTTAGATCCCAGATTCAAGGATAAAGTTTTTTCTGAAGAAAATGAAAAAAACATTGCAGTTAATAGCTTAAAACAAGAACATGAATCAGTGTATAATAGTTGGCCTAATATCATTTCAACATCTAATGAGCAAGAGAGTTCAACAGATAATAAAAAAATCGTTATTTAGAGATATATTGCCAGATTATAGAGAACTACAACAATGTAACACTGCCGAGTCTGAACTTAATACCTATTTAAATGAAGTCTTACTTAACGAGGACGATGACATCTATAAGTATTGGTCAAAATCGAAGTTCAGTGGATTAAAAGAATTGGCAAATAGATATCATTCTAGTCCATCTAGCTCAGTAGACTCAGCATTATGAAAAAACGACTTCCAACTCTTTAAAAATGATAAAGACTGGTTTGACAACGTCTTTTTAAAATTAAACCTTAATAAATCAAAAAAACATATTTTATAATAGTACTTTGTGCAAAACTCAAGTAATAAAATATGTGTTCACCCAACAAAGTGTAATGGAAACACATCTATAAACTTATCCCATCCATCTAAACCAAATAACTCCAATAGTATGCAAAAAAATAGTGAATAATTAGCAAGTAATAGTAAGTTGGTTTTTAGAATTTGCAAAACAATATTTCTTTTTAATTATATTCCAATATTTTAAAAATTGATGGTGAGATGAACTAGCTCTGCGGGTGCTGCCGATAGGAGACACCTCCTGTGTTATCTTAAAGTGGTTACCGATTTTGGAGACAGAGTCATTAAAATTCTATGTCACATCAGTAGATGAAAATCAATTAACTTTCAACTTAGTCACCTAGGTATGCACATCCGAAAAATAATTTAATTGTTTCAAGTATGTTACTATTTTTATGAATCTCTATTAAAGTGTCACCGCTGTAGCGAGCTGTGACTTTATTAAAATATTATAAATAATCTATTTCATTAAATTTAATCAATATTCTATTGCGCGTGGCCTCGAAACGTATATGTTCATAGATATATAACTACTCATATGAATATTATTTTAAAATAATATTCATAATAAATAATTCACAATGAAAAGTCGTGTTGCTTCTGTAGAGATGACAATGA